ATTCCTGCTAGAGACACATACCTATTAACTTAAACAAAAAGGAAAGAATCCTACCTCAATCTACCTAATTTAATGCATAATCAAGATTTCTCATCTGGATTTTATTGTATTTTAACACCTTCCTAGCTGTTTTTTATTCTCTTGGCAATTTTGCAGCGTTGGAATTTTAAATGAGAGGAATTTTCCTTTTGTTTGTTTGTTTTGATTAAAGTTCAACTATAACCTTTTTATCATAGAACTAAAAAATAATTTTAAAAAAATGCCTCAGAGACTTGAATATGTTCCTATCAAGCTAAGTGTCCCCTAAGTAGGATACTAGGGGTGTCTTTAGGGTTTTGGACTTAATTATCTGATATACAGGGAAAACAATAGAGCTCTGGCTGTGCATATATTTGAGAATCCTTTTGCCATTCCTCAGTTATTTCTGTGGCTTTCTAAGCAGGGAGGGAAATGACTCCAAGGGATGAAATCTCACCTTTTGTGGCCTTCTTCTGGCCTGCCCCTGGGCTCCAGCTTCTCCCTGTGGTAGGCAGCGTTGAGCTCGTTGCGGAGCCGGTCGCTCTCCCGGGCGATGTCAGCAGCATTTTGGATGACCAGGGTGTCGTATGCCTTCAGCCCCAGGTCCTCAGCCTTCTGCAGGAAGCTCTGGATGGAGGTGACCTCTTGCTGTTTGATGCTCATCTTCTGCAGCAAGCGCTGGCGAGCCAGAAATCCTCTTACCACTGCCATGACAGGAGAAAACGTGGAGCGATGAAAGAGAACTCATTAATTGGTGAATAACTTCATATTATTGGGTGTTCTGCTGTAGACATGAACAAATCAAGTTCAGTCAACAACTTATACAAGAGGAGAAACATGATGGCATAAAGATAACATATTAAAAGAACTCTGTGTTTTGTACTGCTCATGCTTAAAACAGTAAATTTGAGGTGGTGGCAAATAAATAACATTAAAAGAACTCTTTGTGTTTTGTACTGCTCATGCTTAAACATTAAATTTGATCACAAATCAAAATGTTTGCTTTCACTGTATTTTTTATTCCAGTACAACAAGAAACTTAGATGTGTGCCACAGATGATGAAAACCTCCATTTACACTTCAAAGGTCAAAAGAGTGGTTTAAAATAAAACCCTAAATAAATGGTTGCTGCACTGAATGAAGAAGGAACTAAATAAGCATTTGCTTTTGGACAGGTTTTAAAAATATTTGAAGTATTTCAAACTTAAATACCCCAAATAAAATCCCCCTCAGAAAATACCCCAAACAAATACCCCCCAAAAAATCCCCAAATCAAAACCAACACAAGATCTGTTAGTGTGACTTAAAGACCTTTTGCTGCTCGTTTCCTCTCAGCAAAAGCAATTAGATTAATATCATGCAAATTTCCCAAATGTATCTGTCACATCACGTCTGCATTTTTTCACTTTATTAATAAAGTAAATTTTCATCTGCATTGCATCAGCTTGATGTATCTATTAGGCCTATTTTTCACACTCTTTGGCTTTGAAGGAAGAAATACGTTAAAGTTGCTTTATTTGTGTGGTGTTTTTCTTTAAGTTCCACAAGATCCTGATTTTTCCCAGATCTAGAATCAGTGCTGTGTACCTCCCAGGGAAGAAGCTGTTTGAGAATTATTCATGTGTGGCCTAAAATATTGATTTTTCAGTACATCAGTTTACATGGATCCAAACCAGGTCAAACTTCACCATTGCTTATGATGGTTACTCTCTGAAAGTTTTTCCTAAGTGAAGTCAGCAGGCCATAGTCTGTATGAGATGTTCATTTGAGTTTTTGGGGAAAATACTGAAAATATGAAGATTAAGATGCATCAGACCTTTTTAACAATGTAATTAAGCTGCAGTCTTAGGAAGGCTGCAGAACAACATTAAATGGCCAAGAGGCAACCTGAATTAATCTGAAGGAAAACAGATCCAATTAGTCTTCTATGAATGAAAAATTTTATTGAATGAAATAAAGAGCTAAAACAGAGGGCAAAGTAGGGTATTTTCTATCACCTTCTATGTCCTTATTTATATATTTCAACCAAGACTTTTTTCAGAGATGCTCAGTGTCCAGCTGACTAAATAGAAGATTAATGTTAACATGCTAACACTGCTTCTATCCAAAATTCACAGGGTTTGGAAATATTCAAGCTCAGGTACTTTGAGACTATTTATAATGGACAACTTTGAAGGTTTACCTTTTTTTAAGCCTTTTTCAAACCCCTTAGTTGCTTTCTATAAAATCTGACTTTAAACCCAGCAACGTTAATGGACTTGCACAATCTAGTTGAAAAGGAAATGAATAGTCCAGTTATTCCTTGACAATTTTATGGGAATATTCACACTGGATATACATGTTACTGAGCCTGGATCCATAATGTTGCTGCTGCAAAGGTAAGGAGAACATGCATAGAATATTATCAGAGTTCATTGCTCACGAAGATGAAGAATTCAAAAAGCTTAAGAATCAAAAATTGCTCTTTCACTTCTAGCATTTTTTAAAAATTTATCTGCTGCAGAGCAGAGAGGGTATTTGACAAGTGGTTAAGCACCAAATCGTGGACGAGTTTGGGAAAAAGCCTTGTTTTTAATTTTAATTACATCCAGCAGAGGTATCTGCAGCATTTAGAGACTACAGCTATGCACTTGCATCAAAACTGAGATATTCTGAAGAAACATTGAACTAGGGTTTGTCAGAAGGGTTGGCAAACAGAAACCCCTCTTTTCTTTTCCACGCATTTTCATGAACTAAGCAGCTCAGGTTTTCATCAGAAGATGGACATTTTACCACATTTCCTTCTCTAGGAGAACATTTGAAAGGTTTTGTCTTCAGTTTGATACAGAACAGATCCACAATTTCAGAATCCCCAAAACTGCTGGGAAATGAAACTCTCGTCTATGAGATCTTCACTGCTCAGCTTCATCTACTGCTGTTAAGGATACAAAGATTCTCCTCTGAACTTGCTCCTCATTGATGTAGACCTAAAATAATTCTCATTTATACAAATTAAAATAATTGAGGTTAGTACCCACAGGGCAGAAACATATCTACTTCTTTACAGTTCAGCTCAGGATAAGGATCAGCATAATCAAAACTCAAGCAGAGCATGGATCTGGGTTCTGTGAGACAGGTATTAGCTCTTGTGTATACAATGCATGAAAACACAACACAATTAAAAGAAAATGCATTAAACTCCTTGTCTGTGTGAACTCTCATGGAGTCACTTCAGCATAAGGGACTTCCCTACAGGCACAAACAATCTTTGCAGTGATTTAGTCAGGTCATAACTTCCCATAGGTAGTCCTCATACCTGTGAAAAGAAGATATGATGAACTGCCTTAATCTACAGATCTGTTTTTAAATACAAAGTGATTCTACACATGCTTTCAATTCACTTTGACCCTTTTCTTTGCCTCTGTAAGTCAACTGTCAGGATAACTGAAAAAGACTCATCTGGTTTGCTTTGTCTTGTGTTTCACCAGATTTCTGGGAAGGCTGAAGGGATTGCTAGTAAGACAGGTAAAAACAAGACCTGTTTTCCCCTTCAGTTAAGTCCTTATGTGGGTATATGATATGATATTTTAAGCCTGACACAGAAATTATTGACTAGCTTGGCTATCAGTCAATATGCTATTAAGAGAGATTTCATCTCCAAGTCCTCTGGACACAAAGGATGAGAGAAGAAAAATGTGGATATGCAGCAAAACTGATACCAGTAATCACTAAGCATCATGAGCCTGGTGTAAAATCTATGGCTCCCCATCTATGGATCCCCTGTCCTATTCCTAACCTGCCAGAGATCTTTGGCATGCTAATTCTTTGAGTTTACAACTGTACCTGTTTGCAAAGGGCAGCTTATTTAATGAAGTAATGGTGAGAAATGGGTGTCTAGCTACTCCTTACTCAGGCAAGTTCCTGATTTTCTCATGTTTCCCAGACTGTTAAAAAAAAAACTGTAAATGAGCCAAAGCTATGAAAAAAAGCTTTGAACATGTAGTTTTGGTGAAAATGACTTTTCAAGTTAGCCCAATTAAGGGAGGCTGGAAGCAAAATCAAAAGAAATATTTCTGTAAGGAGCCAAAAATACCTATTATCTTCATTCTTCAGGCAGGGTTTGGCTGATGCCTGTTCTCTTACCTCTGGAAAACATGGACACACCTGAGGATGTTTCATATTTTGGTGCATACTAAATATTAAATGGTTCTATTAAAGCACTCTGTTTGCAGACTGGACTCTGCAAGGTAAATATTTCCTCTATTTGATACGTCAGCATGAGGAGGGATAAATCACTGTTGCTTTTCTAAATGCTTTTATTTGGATAATAAGTTTCCCCCCCCAGCTGAACTGTGGCCTGTGTCAACTCTCACTCTCCACATTCCCTCCTGAACTGCTGCTAGTCTGATGTCACTTGCTTCAAGTTTTCTCTTGGCCTCCTCATTTCCACTCACAGTGAAGAACAGATCCTTACAATGAAGAGTTTTATAAATTCTTAAGTCTGCAATATTGTTTATCTGACTTTAAAAAAAATCCTCAAAACCCAAGATAAGTATTTGTCTTTTTAATTTCCTTTAAAAAGGTGATAATGAGAATTGTTGCAGGCGCCAGCCAAATGGATAAATGATGCATTGTGTGAAGGAAGCTTCTTCAAACAAAGCAATAGTCACATTTTCAGCAGCTATTTGAGATTTTGATAGGAAAGGGAACAGAAGGAACAGGAAATCAGGAGGCAGTGGACAATATCTCCTTTCAAAAACATGCCAAAAAATGTCAGTGTGACCTTAGTAAAAATGCAGGCATAAAAGGGGGGAAAAAATGCCAAAACATAAAACACTAGCAGGCAAATATGAAAGCTGTAAAAAAAAATGGAAAAAGACAATTAAACATATTAAATGATGAGCTTTGTATTCCCTGTGGACATCTTTACACACATTGCAATCCTGTGTCATTGGTACAGCATTTGGTTTGCAACAAGAGGTTAAAGGGGATATTAACACCTTGAAAAATCTCTGAACACACTTTACAAAGGAAATACTGGAGATGCCCTAACTTTTAATTGCAGACAACAGTTTATCAGAGAATTATGTTTAACAGACAGAAAACACAAGCATCACCAATGTTAATATAATCTTAAAAGCTGGGAAAATGTCTGTAGGGAATGAATAAAATACAAGAACTACTCAAGGAGGAGAGAAATGTTTTGCTAGACAATATTCTGCTCAGTGCACAAAGTGACAGCTTAGGACCACTCGTTCTGTAGTCGTTACCTTTTTGGCAGGTTATGATCTTCTTCTGCAGCTGAAGGCACAGATCATTGAGGTGGTCAGCTTGCCAGTACTTAAGAAAGACTTTTCGGACTCCTATCTAGAATACAAACAGCAGGGAAACCTTCACCAACAAAAAAAAAGCCAAAACAATGGCAGGTAAGTAACAGCAGTAGGTGTACAATGCAGCTGGGGGTTGAGAGGAGATTTCTGCAATTTAAGAAGAGTACAATGCCAACAGTTGTACAGAGAGCTGGTGTCACTTGGCTGAATAAAAGATGCACTTAGAAAGGATGAGCAAGTTGTCAGATACGTGGTTCCCCTTCCACTCCAAAAACATCCAGAACAAATACCACAATCTTCAAATTAAATACAGCTTGGGAATAAAAGCATTCTGAATGCAATTACACCAATGTGGTAGATAAGAGAAAATAAGGTTTAGCTTTTATGAAACAGGGAGATGAGGGCAAGCAGAAAGGTGACAAGCCACAAACCCACATGGAGCAGCAAATGGTAACAGCTGCCAGCTGGGGAACAGGGAGAATTTCGCCCAAATGGGAGGATGGGAGAAACTTATTGATATTAGTGAGAAGAATTCCTAAAGTCCAATAAAATGATGAACCCTAGTTCTCAGCCTTGCCACCTGAAGCTGTGCTGGAGGTCTCAGAATCAAGCCTAAATCAGAGACAGAGGGACTCATTTGTGAAAAATAATCTCCTAAGTATTAATTGAGTGTAATTTGCACTTATTCTGGTGCTGACTGGTTGCCTGGTTTAACTCAGCTACTTCTTACTAACAATCATTAGATGCTATTCCCCTTTTACAGAAAAATTTAGCTAACTAGCCCAAAAGAAAACACTTTCCTTTTGAAACCTTCTGAACATGCTGAAACAATCCTTAGAAATTCTTTTCTGTATCAACTTCAAAAGCATTCTTTCCTAATAGCCTTAAAAAAAAAACACCAAGCCCCACACAACCTGCAAACAGTAACTCAGAACACTGGATAAATAATGGCTTCTCTTACACCATTTTTTCCTCAGGAATTCTGTAGAAGCTTTCCTTTATTTCTTAGAAATAAAAGGACCAGTGTCAGTGTTATCCAGTGAGGATTGTAGCTGCCTAGCTATTAATTTAGTATGGCTAACAGGAATACTGATTAATAAATACAAATCTGACTGAAATTGCAGAAATTCATCCCAGCTCTTACCTGAAGCTCACAAACTCATTCTCTTCTCATTGCACCATCCTGCATCCTGTTTTTTATGATAGATTTGGGAGACAGGTGTCAGCAGGGCTGTTTCCCCATCTCTTCAACTGATTGTAATCTAAACAGTGATGTCAGGTCACATGCAATGCACATCACTGGCAATGAAGAACTCCAGAACACCAGGACATATATACCATGTCTAAACTCCATTAACAAAATTCAGAATTGACTGGGGCACATTTCTGTCCCTTGGCTTCTTTTCTCTCTCTCTCTCCAAACTATTTTGAGTCAAATGTTTTAAAAATGTTTTAAAAAGTCTCGAATTCTGAAGTTTGAGCTGACATACAAGGATGGTTCAACTGTTGGTGTTTTAGTTTAAAATCAGATGTGCTCAAATGGTTCACTAGAATCCTTCCTAAATTTTTTTATTAGTATCTCTTTTTCTCAATAAAACAGCCCTTTTTGTGTTACTGCAACGTGTGTGAAGTCAGGGTGATAAAAAATCCATTTTGCTTGTCTTGTAGAAACTCATAAATAGGAAATAAGCTTTCTTCACATGGGGGAAAATGCCTGGAACAGCTATTTTAGAAAACTGCAGCTACAGAAATATAACTGTAATTTATCTGTTCCAAAGTAGGTCCTCTATTCAGACCATCTATTCTGGAGTAATCTTTCTGCTTACAACTCAGAGCTATTATTCCAGGACAATATTACCTCTTCCTAGATCCTGCTTCTACAATGGTAGGTAGCTAATCTGGTGAAGTGATGTCTTTATATTTGCTTAATAGATTATCTTGAGTGATGCCTTCCAGGTTTCAACTTCATGCTCATCTCACTGAGATCTCATGGTGCTCTCACACCCTGCTCTTAAGGCCACATACTCCCATCCTCATTTTCTTGACTGATGACTTCCCAGCAAGTTTTCACTATTCTTCCTGTGCTTTCAGAATTCTCTCCTTGCCTGGCTGTCTTAGCACTCTGACTCCCTTCTTCAGCCACCATCTCTGCTGGAATCTGCCTCTTTACCACAGCTTGCTAAATTTCCTTAGAGTCTTTCTTTTTGTCTTCACTTCCTTTCCTCCTTACTTCACCAAAAAGTTCTAAGAAAAAGTAGTCAACCATTTTCTTCTTCAGCTTAAATTTGCTTCTCTTTTAGACACCCAATCCCATATCATGAACAAGCAAACTTCTCATGGTTTCCCAGCAAACCAAGTCAATTTTCTCCTTTCTTCCCAACAACCATTCCATATTCATGCCTTCACCTTTCTTCCAGGACATCAGAACTCTACCTTGACTCTTTCCACCACACCCATTCTGTCACTAAACCCTGAAAATCCTGTAAGAACTGCTGATCAAACAACTATTTCTTCATTCTTGTCAAAATACATATTGAACTTCCCTCACTATTAGCTTTGGCTACTAATCTCTCCATCTTCTTGCTCCTATCAGCTTAAATCCAGAATTCTTCTACAAAAATAACTAAATTATTATTCAAATGGTTAACTCTAATTAAATTATCATGCAGCTATTATAATTACCATTTGTAGCTGAGTAGCTCTCAGACAACCAAAGCCTGGCTACAAATACTTAATAAAATGATATTATTCTACTCAGATTTTCCCTTTATAATCCACTTTTCCTTTCCACAAACCCACTACATCACACTGGAGCTTTCTATCCCCCCTCTGTCTCAGGCCTGTCACAAATCATCCACTTTTTCCTCTTTTCTATCATTTTACCTCTATTAAAATGCTTCTTTCTCCCCTTATTTCTTCCCTCTAAGTCCCTAAAACATTCCTCTCTATTAGGGCAGAATCATGGTCCTCTGACAGAAGAAAGGGGGATGAAAAGTTACATTTTTTTTAAACCTTAAAACCCCTCTGATTATTAGAATGCCCGTGGCAAAATCAACAAGCCAGTTCTTGATTAGTCTCATAATTAACACACAGCTCACACCTAGGCTAAATTTCAGGCACCACTTATGCCATGAACATCAGCAGTAGAAGCTTTCTACCATTTTTAAGTGAATCAAGAACTACAAAATATCAACAGAAATTCATTTTTACATTCAGATAAAAGCTATTTATAGATTTATTTTTTTTTTACATCCTATGCCAGGTCTGTTGAGAGCAGAGCTCCAGACATGTAGAGAAGAAACTGCTGTAACACATTTGATTCTGTCTGATGGTTGTAGAACTGTTGCTCAGGCTTTGAAATAAATCTGATACCCTCTGAAGCTGACCAAGAACAAGCCAGGCTCAGTGCCCTCCGGACAGATCTGGTGTTCAGGGGAGGCAATAATGCTGAAAACTGTTGGAATTTCATCTGCCAGATATCAAAACAGCTTCTGAGGCTGCCACCTGTCCTCATTCTGGTCTTTTCTCTCATCACAAAACCCTTCCTGCTTGCCTAAGGGGAAAAAAAAGGTTAAAATGTTCCCCCACTGAAACACTCACTTTTCAATACTTTCTGGACTACAAAGTGCTCTCATCTGAAGTCTGAAATTTTAATGTCATTCAGCCTCCTGTAAAAGTAAACCATCTGTGAATTACAGGCACAGGGATTTTAATTAGAAAAGCATTAGGGTTTTAAATGTTATTTTTCAAAATGACACATTTTTTTTTTAAAAGATGAAGAAAAAATTGTCATTGATGACTACCAAAGCTTCAATTACTGCTACAGGCCTTTTTTTCTTTAAATTTAATTTTATTTCTTTTTTTTTTCCTGAGAGGAAAGAGAAAGCATGGGAGAGCTTTTCTTTCTCTCTCTGCTTTTTTTTTGTAACTTTACAGAGAAGGTGTAGGCTGTGGAAGCACAGACATTCAAACCCAAGGAATGGATGCTGAGCTGGTGTGTAGGTGGCATGGAGGCTGTATTAGCTCATACTTAATAGGTGTCAAGGGAATCTGGAAAGCTGTTCTTTCATTTAAAAAAGGCAATTTGTGGGAGTGCTGTGTGTTTCTGGCAGCACTTTCAAAATAGGTACCTACAAAAGACAGAGAACTATAATCTAATGATATTCCACACAATGACACACATTTTCACAGTGCATTAATGAAAGGTAGGGGGGAAAAAAAAAACAACCTTAAAACTATTGTAAAATGAGTCTTTTTGCCATATAGATGTCTGCAAAATCATAGTGACAAATACATTGACAGGGTGCTGATCTTTCACAAGGTTATTTTTAAAGGTTTACTCTCTCTGCTTTATTTGTTATCTTCTCTTCACACATTTCAAGAGTCCTCCTCTGTCTCTGGTGAACTAGTGGCCTTGCACTAGTACACAGAGAATAAACCTCCAGTTTAGCATAGATTATATATGGTCTTAATAATATAAAGTGTGTGAGTAGCCCAGTACACACACAAATAACATAAAGCCTATAAAGCCTTTATCTAAGTGATTGCCAGGAGCTGGACTTTCAGGATTAAAAAATTGCATTCAGCTCTCTGGGAAAGGGCAGGAAAAGGGTTGTTCCTTCTCTAAAAAGTGTACAAACCTCACAGCTCTTTGTAAGGTGACAGAAAGGAAGTTATCAGGAGATGTAAGACGTGTGTAAGAAATAGTCAGTGGAGGATACACCACCCCAGCTGCATCTCATGGGATCTCTGTAGTTACCAGACCTATCATTCCAGTCTTTCAGAAGTCTAGGAAGCTGGAGCACCAAAAGAATCAGTAGGAAAGTGTGTCTCTGTGTGAACTGAGAGATGGAGGCCACAGGCAATGGGGACAGCAACAGCAGAGAAAGAAAACCCTGAGGTAGGAGACTGGAAAACTAACCCCAGACAAACAAAGGATGAACACTGGGACCAAATATGAAATGAAGTATCTAAAAAAGACCAAAAAAAAAGAGAAGAACATCAGAGAAAAGTGTCAAGAGTGATACAGGGGGTGTG